GGCGCTCGGGCAGTGGGGGTCGCCAGGCTGGGGGGGTTCGGGCGTCTGGTGGGGCGAGGGGGCCTGGATGAAGTCCGGCCTGCCCCTCGACAGGGGGAATGTTCAAAAGTAGTTTTTCTAAAATAGTCGGGGGACTAGGTTTTGACCATTTTTGGCAACTTTGGGGGCATTTTTGGGGTATTTCTTATTTTGCGTCCAAGCTCCCCCTGTAGGGGGACATGCCCGACCGAAGGCTTGGAGCGTTTGTGGCAGTCCACTGGGAGCCCTCGGGGGTTTGGAGGGCCCAGGGGGCGACCCCCTTAGTGGTGACCCGCCTTGGCATTGCCTGGCCCACGACTGGGTCGTCGCCGTCATCATCGCCGTCGCCCCACCCCCGACCTCGGGCGGATGAGAGTTTCAGCCTCGGCCCTCTTCTTCATCCTCTTCTTATCATTCCTCTTCGTCTTCCTCTTCTTCTTCTGATTCTTCTCATTCTCCGTCAGGTTTCGGCCTCCAGGGGCCTGCGGGCCCAAAGGCGGTCGAACATTGGCTCTTGCACGAGGGCCCGTGTGTAACTACCACCAGGTGTAAGTCGGGCCTGCCTCCCTACGGGGGGATTTTCGACGTAGGGGGACGGGCCCGACAGAACGCCAGGTCGAGATTCCTCTTCGTCTTCCCCTTTTTCTTCTTCTGATTCGGTCGAACATTGGCTCGCGTGCACCTGAAGCACCGAGCTGTGCACCTGCCGCGTGCACCGAGCTGTGCACCTGTGCACCGATTCCAACGAGGGCCCGCGTGCACCTGCCGCCAGGGAAGGGCCCCGACGGAGGCCGGCCGTCTCCGGCGGCCTCCGGGTCGGCCCCCGGAGGCCCGCGGAGGGCTGCGAGCGCCCGCGGGCCCGCCCAACCGGACCGCCCCGCGGGGGGCCCGGACCCCACGGGCAATGCAAAAAGCATGGCGGAAGGTTTTTTAGTATTTTCGGCCTCTGAGGGCCCTTACCGGCCGTCGTTGACCGCCAAAAATCGACTCAGGATCAGCCTCAGGCAAAAATGTTCTGCGCGCGCATTCGCTTATCAAAACCGTCAGTTGTCAAGAATTCCTTGAAACAGACAGGGCGGAGTGCGCGCGCGTCGTCGCGCGCCCAGGTATCATGCGGCCACTTCAGGCTTCCTCAGGATTTCAAAGTCGAGTTCCACGAGCGCATATGAAACACTGTGTTTCGCAGCGGCAATTCCCAAAAACAGTTTGCGCTCGCGCCCCTGCGAGTTCTTCAGAAAACCATCGGTTTGTCAGAACGTGCTTCCAATTTGGCTTCTCGCGCGCGCGTCGAAATCGCTCGAACGCCCTCGCGCGCGCGCTGTCGCAGTAATGCCTTGCGCACAAAAAAAAGGACGAAACGCGCGCGCGCGTAATCGCTCGCGCGCGCCGGAATCGTTCAACATGCTTAGGTTGCGCCCTGAATTCAAAACCGAGAGTCACGAACACATAGTAAAGACGCATCGTTTTGCAACGTCAGGTTTCACGCAAAGAAAAAGGCTTGCGCGCGCGCTCTGGCGAGTTCTCAAGCAAATCACGGTGCGCTTCCATATTATCATCGCGCTATGCCAAACGGGCCTCTCGCGCCGCATGTCTAACACATTCGAACGCCCTTGCGCGCGTGCTGTTGCTGGGGGAGGGGGGAGGTGCGGGCGCGACCCGCGCGGGCCATTCGCGCGCGCGTCGGCCGCGCGCGCGTCGAATTCCGTTCAAAACCTCCGTCGTTGACGCGATGACATCGTAGTCGTTTTCGGCGGGCGCGATCAACATCGACGCCGTCATTGGCCTTGCCGCTTCCATCGCCACCATGGCCACCATCGTTGCTCTCATCATCGCGCCCACCGTTGTCGGCGTCGCCATGGTACCGCTCCCGCCCGCGCCACCGACTCGCATTCAAGTGCCCGCTGGGAAGTGCCCAGCGGTCAGCGCCACCGCGGCCGCGTCGGTCGCGCCAAACTAGCTGGCCGTTGTGCGTGCGAGCATGCGCGGGCTAGCGCGTCCGCAGACATGCGCCTGCCAGCGTCAATGACTCACCGCAACCGCCGCCGCATGGGTTTTGCAAGCACAGCTGTGGGTGGGTGGGCGGGATGTTAACAAGGGCATGGAATGTGTCAACTCATACAAAATCAATCGCGCAGCATCGTTTGCACAATTTAGATTGCTCAACGCATTCTCCTAGAAACTACATGTTTGGGGCAGCGTTGGGTAGTATGGTCTTACATGTGATTAATCCACGCAAGCTTATATATTCATATGTATATATATACATACAAATATCGAATATACATACACGCGCCTTCTTTGAGTGTAGACGGCCCCTCCTCCCTTGCATCCCCGATTCGCCCCTTTTGTCATCCATCGAGGATTGGGGAGGTTCATCGGGGTTCGAGGATCTTGGTTCGAGGGTCGCGGTTTGGACGTTTGTTTTCCTTGTGGGCTTGGGGAATGTTTCTACCCACCACGGGTGGATCCGCTTCGAATCGTT